CAATCCCTTTTCAAGACTGTTGTGTCATTTTAAAGGCGGGCTACTATGACCTTGCCCACATGCATAACCCGGGCTGAAAGGGATACAACAATAACAACAGCAGCAGCAGCAGCAACAATAACAAAAAGAACAAAAAAAACCAACAACATCACAACCGCCACTACCACCACCAATTCTCATACGGGAATTGATCTCATACTTTCTGTGTGCGATAACGAAGCGCATTACCGATTCATCGCCGACACCGGTAGACTAGTCCAAAATCTTTTTATTAATTTTAAATCTTCAAAAAAAAAAAAAAAAAAAAGGTTAAAAAAATTAAAAACAACAAACAAACAAACAAACAAAAACCCGGGAAAAGCCACGAAATAGTTTGTATTTGCATCTTCCACATAAGAAATATGTAGGCTGTAATTCTATATACAGCTGTTTGAACGTTTACTTGAATACTCCTCGAGCTTCAATTGTTTATTTATATAAAACGACGTATAGAATAAAGAAAATGAGTAAATTAAAAAGTGAAAAAGACGACTCATGACACTACACTGCTCAGATAGTTCTGACATCCGTCGAAAATAAGGGTTGTGGAAGGCACTTGAAAAGCAGTTGTCAAGACAAATATTGTTCCTTCTTATTGGCCGGGAGGCACGACGGCTGAAGATCCCTGGACTTTGGGTACCCAGTGTCGCAAATCGCTTCCAGTTTTTTCAGATCACACGTAGGCTAATCCAAAAGTACACTCCCTGAAGCGAGATCGATTTGAGTTGCCTACCAAACAGACAGAAGGAATTTTACAGAATTCCCTCGGTTATCGTGGAAGTTATGTTTTTTGAACCTCCTGTGACAGTGAAAAACTCGCTAAGACCCGTTACCTTAGAATTATAACGTTTTAACTCACATTTTTGGCCGTTTTGAGTCACTAAGACCATGAGGTGAGAAATCACATTCACGTTCTATCTGCTGCTCTATCAAAATCGTAAGATGAAACCGGCTATAAAACTGGATTCGTTATCACGATAATATGCAATGAATTGCATTCGAAAAAGCTTGAAATGTTGTGAAACTCAAAAATGTTAACGTCAAATTTCTCAAAACTAGGTAAATCTACGGGGCAGATAGAACTTTGTTTTTCTTGGGTAGCGATGTAGGACCGATACCACTAGATCTTTATTATTATAATTATTATTATCATTATTACTATTATTATTATTATTATTATTATTATTATTATTATTATTATTATCATTATAATATT